TAAGATTAGATTGTTAAAGTGAAGATTCCATGTTAAAGAGGAGTTAAATCTCATTCGTAGAAACTATAGTGAAGTGTTAATTCAGGTGTGATGGAAACATTTTTTAGAAAATAAAACGTAACGACTTTTAGCTGTAGAAAAGGTAAGGCGAGTTTGCTTTGACCAAGTCTCCAGTTGTTAAGTTTGTGACAAAATACTATTAATGTTCTTGCCCTTGCAATATACGACTAAGTCAACTGTATATAGACGCGCTTTCAGTGGTAATCGTTATGAAAAGAGTGTGGCATATTGTTTAACTTTGGGGAAGGCCGTTTTCAGGCATGATCTTATTGGAGAGAGTAGCGTTGCTTTTCACTTTAAAAGATATTTTTTTCAAAAGATTTTTAACGTTAGAAAATGCTTATACAGTTTCTTAATTATGTAGCCATGCCACGTAGTATCCGTTAATGTCAATAAAGAGGGCTAAAAATGTATCTTTTAGTGCAAATGATTGATGGAATCAGGTAGCTTTTATTGTAAGGATTTGTGTTATTACATAACATGGATTTTCCTTTTGAAATGGCTGCATTAACTGCATACAAAAATATGCAGATCTTTATCTTATTTATGCATCGTGATTTTTCCTAGTAAAAACACGAAATAATCCAAAACAACGATAATGAATTAAAAGAACCGACTCTGTTCTTTGCCTCTTGTTCGCAATTACCAGATTAGAATTTAATACTGTGAAGAACCGGAGTTCTTTTGGTAGTTTAAAGCATTAAAAATCTTCTATTTTTTGTTACTTTTGTTCCTTAAGTTCCAATTAAATAACAATTACGTTTTCTGGGTTTACTTCAAAGAATTTTCAGCGATATTAAGTTTCTTTATGCACCGAGTTGATTCTAATTTATATCTTGAAGAAAACATTGGCGTCTTTCATGGGGGGATTAACGCTTCGAGTTAAGAACAAGACTTTCTAGAAAATTAATATTATTCTTTATTTTTTAAAAAGAATAGGTGCAAAAAGTTTTAATCAAATGCATTTCACTAAAGAAATTATTTTTGACAGGAAAAAACAAGGTTTAGTTACATATTTGATGGCTAATATATTACATCTAGATTATTCTTTCTGATCGAAACTGTTGGCACTAGAAAAATGTTATCTTAAATCTTAAACTAATAGTTTCTTGATTATTTCCAATTATAACTTTAGAATAAACTGTAGGATTTAAACTCTTATTTCTTCAATAGGCTTTCCAAGCCACGTAACTCTTTGTCAGTTAAAATGGTATCTGTTTAGCATTAATAAAACTTTTATTTTTTGTCTTACTTAAATAGAGGTGTTAAACTTTAATTTGTCTTAAGTGACCTTGTAAATCAAAGTGTGCGCATGTTGTATCCAAAATCTATTCGAAAAGTTAATGGTCCGTTAGTGTGAAATTTGTTGGTTTCTTCGACAATAATAATTCATTTAAACCAGAAGTAGCATTAAATTTGTTATCACCCAAAACTATATTATGTTCATCAAATTCCAATTCTTTATTGCCCCATATTATTGTCTCTGTAAATGGGCTCATAGTAATTATAATCAGTACATTTTCACCATATTTTTCTAGATATTCATTTTTCTCTGTTTTGTTTAGTCACTCCATTTATTGGTTACAATGGTTCTATCACAGGTGTAAAAAAGTTCAATTCATTTCTATCAGTTACCATTTTCTTCAAAGTGGCACCCCTAAGATCTGATATGCGTGCTGCATTTGTCGACATCTTTATAAAATCTGATGTATTTTTATATTAAATAGGTCTTCAGAAACGTTCTTTATAGATCTTCAGAGGTCTTCAGATGTCTACAGCGTGCTTCAGAAGTCTTTAGATGTCTTCAAGGTCTTTAGATGCCTTCAGGGTCTTCAATATCTTCAGATGTCTTAAGATCTTTTTAGGTGTCTTCAGAAACGCTCTTCAGAAGCCCTCAGCCAATTTTGTCAACTTCTTTCTTCATTATGCTTCTACATTTTTCTGATAAGTTTAGTTCCATAATGAAGATTGTTGTTCGAGAAATCAGGATGTCGATTTGTTTTGAATTGTCATTATTTTTGGAGAATTGTCAAAGAGATACTGAAAAGATTGTTAAAGAAAATGTATGGATTGATTTAGAAGGCGAATAAAGTTAAATAAATAGAAAATAAATTTGATTATAAAGAGTATTTTTTAAAAAGGAATGAGAGACAGGGTTTTGAGTAGCAAGCAGTTGAACAGAACGAGATAATAATAAAAAAGAAATATTTAGGGGAGATAGTGTAGGAGAAGCTGGAGCAGAGGAGCACAGCAGTGAGCAGAGGAGTAAAGAAGAAAAATTTTGAAATTAGAAATAAATTTTTTTACTTTAACTACTGTTTTTAAGAGTATAAGGTAAAATTTCAATTTGTTTGGATACTGGGTGTTTCCATAACATTTTATGATACCTGATTATCAATAAATATACCTTGTGAGTAAAATTATTGATTTCTTTATATATTTTGTGGTATGAAACGGCTTTGTATTTCGTATTCGCCTCGCTTAACTCGTTTTATTTATTTACTTATGTTTTTACCTGTTGTCAGCCGGTCCTGTTCTATTTCCTGAAAGAATAGGGAAGGGAAGTGGGTTTTAGATTAAAAAAAAAAGACTAAATTTCCACTGATGATCATTATAATGATTATATTTACATTATTCAGCACTGCAACTGACTAAGACGATGTTCAATAGAAAAATAACTTATATAATAGATAATAATTATAATACAATTAACTATATACAAAGGAAATTGAAATTCGACACGCATGTTTTTGGTGTATCCAAGTCGACTTAATTAATATTTTTGAAAGAGGATTTGATATAGATTCAGGATGTTTACAAAAGTGTATAAACAAGCAGCTGGTTATTAAATTAGACATTTGATACTTGCATTTGCATGCCAACAATGTAAATTTGAAATTATTTCTTAAATACTCTTTCCAACATTGCTATCTGAACCAGTAAAATTTTTTCTTCAAAGTAATTTTTTTTTATTTTTTAAGTAGATATACAAAGCCGTTACGGGCCCACATAGGGAATATGTAAGAGTGAGAGGTACATATTCAATGGGTAAGAGTAGGACACAGTGAGGGGGAACGGGGAGTGTGTGGAATTAAATCTCTATTAACGCCGAATGGAAAAATTATGCGATTGACAAAAGGGCCTAAGCGTATTTCTCGGCTACTATTGGTCCGATTCAAACGGAAAAAAACGGCATTATGTAGAGAACGCGGTATAGATGAACGTTGAAGAGAAAAAGCATACGCAGAACGAAAGCCAGAAGGGCTTAAGTGTGTTTCTCGGATATTACTTTAAACTGGAAAAACGTCATTATGTAGAAAACGCGGTATAGATAAATGTTGAAGAGAAAAATCCTGTGCAATGTCAAAAGGACCTTTTTTTAAAATAAATAGGTGCTTCAATATTTTTTCTTCAGTATCGGAGATGTCTAGCAAACAGAATAGCCGTAGAATTGAAGAGTTTGTAGAAAAAGTTAGGGAACTAAGAAGAGATTTTACGAAGAAAAAATATCTTGTGGATGATTTATTAAAAAATACTTTATAAAATAGAAGAAAACTGAAAATTATTGGCAGTTTGAATACGAATTATAAGTAATATTAATAATGTCTTAGTTAGATTTTAAAATAAAAATATTAGTTCCAAAAAAATCATCATATTTCTTTGCTGGTTTTTTCCTTTGTAAACTCCTTACTGTTTTTTAAGTTGAATACACCAAATAATGCTTTTGACGAACTAAAAATTTAAGATAAACTCAATAGGTAGCTAACTTAGCTATTATATCAGTTAATGTTCGAAATAAATACAAATTGTTTAATATTCACAATAAATCTTTTACGTTTTTAAGAACTTACATTGCTAATTTTTCGAGAAATTATTTAAATCTTATGTACACATTAATATAATACAATTTTCTGTAAATTTTAGTGACAAAAGTACGAAATTATTGGTTTTGTTTAGATTTATCAAAATTTAACTAAAAAAAAGTGTCTGCCTTTGAAAAATATAGTAAAATGGATTGTACTATTAGCTATTGTTAGCCCGGGAAACAGTCAACATTTTTAGAAATATTTGTATTATTTCGATTAATATCAATATTGATTTCTGATGTAATCGATAATGAAACAGTCATAAAATAAAAATAATATTATGAATATTTAGTATCGGTAATAAAACTTTGTGTTCTTTTAGAGTTTATTATTAAATTAAGTAAAACTGGTTATTCTCCTCTAGCGGAAACATCAGTGTGGAAGTAGAAAATATAAGACTCAGACTGTTATTAGGGGTCTTCACAGCCTTCCTAGACTAACTCATAGATGTACAACTCGATAATCCATACTATATCGGTATATTTTTCGTTTAAACTCAAGCATTGACGTAATTTTTGATTTTCTAGCGTTGTTAGTTTGTAAAAGATCATTTATATTATACCGAATCATTAAAAATTGGCGCCCAACGTAAAGCTATACATTTGTGGATTTAATTTTTAAAATATCTTCTAAATAAAAGAAAAATGGTTTAAAATTACGTACTTTTACCACTAAAGTTACATTTCTTTTTTAATAAATAATATGTTCTAATAAAAATAACACAGTCAAAAAGTAAATAAGTAGTCTCAAATTTACAATACCGAATTAAAACAAAATTCGACTTAAAATACAGTGTGGGCAAATTTCTATTAAAAATTGATTCTCCTAAATATACAGTTGACTTATTTTCTGACAAATTAATTTTGCAACTGTTTGTTAAAATAATTTAATATATTCTTCTGCTAAGATACAAAATAAAGATGTGCAAAATCATTATATAAAAGTTTTTAGGAATTTAAGGAAGAAGGGAAAGAAAACTCGGTTACGACTCAAAAAAGAAGGCATAACAATTTAAAAATCTGAACATAAACAGCCCAATTGTTCCTATAAAACTAAGGAATGCATTCTTACAACCCCAAGGTAAAAAATACACCAAAGGAAAATCCTTATGCCTGTTCCAATTACTCCACCAAAGCCTTTTTAATTTGTTTTCACCTTAGGGTTTTCGTAGGAAGCACTAAGTTATTCATTTTTAGAAATTTGCCCACAACACACCGACCTGCGCTCCTAACCCCCCCTTAAACCTCGAAACGTCTGATTTGGACTAGTTTTTATACACACATATTTTATACATTGAGATTGAATTTTTTTAAAATTTATTTTCTAATCAGTCAAAAAAATTCACGCGCTATTAACATCACTTTGCACCTCACCTCTTAGTCTTTCAGTCTTAGGAACTGGTTTTCTTGCTTATTTATAGCGCGAACATACTTTAGAACGCTCCATGGGAGTGTCACACCTGAACAGTCTTGTCACTTTGATTTGAGGTGGAAGTTACTGTTGGCGCGCCCTGGAAACTGACCTCTGGGGTGTCCGGGGATCCTCTCGTTATGTCTGGAGGGGAGCCCAGTACCGTAATTATAGGCTGGAAGTCTGAAACAAAAGAAAAGAGCACGTTAATGTTATTAGTTGAATAGTTGTTGTAAAAGTTGAGTTACAATACCAAAAACCTGTGTAACCTGGGTACGAAGCAGGCATGGATACTTCAAGCACACCAGCATGGTTTTTGAAAATGGAAAAGAAGAGAGTAAGGAAAGGTGTAGGAAGGAAGAAGAAGAATAGGAAAAGGAAAGGCGTAGGAAGGAAGAAGAAGAGGAGGAAAAATGTAGGTGTGGAAGTGTTCGAGGTCTTTGACAATGGCTTAAAGTTATTTTCTTGTGACGCAATAATTCTTCTCAGCTTTACCTTAAGATCTTACTAAAATACGCAATTATTTTCTCTTGAGGAGAAGCCGGTCACTCACACCTAGCCGGCTTTCTAGCAATAGTCGGAGAAACGAATAATGGTCGACACTACGGGGCAGGCGTCGGCTGTAACAGAGGGCCCCAAAATTCGCACTTACACTTTAAATAAAAACGAACAAAATCTATTGGTCAAGGGATATATCGATAATCGGAAAGGCACCTTCGTCCTTGATACTGGTGCAACCAAGTCTTTTATTTGAACAGGGATCTTGCATCGGAAACCACGACCAGCTCAAAGAAGTTTAGTTTTGGAAACAGCTACAGGCCACACTACTCCTATTCTAGACGAAATATTAGCAACCGTACAGATTGGTAATACCCTGATAGAACACGTATTTCTGGTGGCCGATATTAAGTATCAGTATGTCCTTGGTATGCAAAATAAGTTTATCATCGACCTTCAAAACAAGATCTTGGTAATTGGAAACGAGGAAATTGTTCTAAACTAGGAAGAAAATACTCAACCGATAAAGGTCCTAGTAGAAGAAGACATAGAAGTACCCCAAAGTTTTGAAGCTGCCGTCTCGGCGAAACTTAGCGAGAAATCACACGGCTTGCATGTGGGCATTGTGGAAAGGCAAGAATCCGTGAGTGACGGAATTCTGGTAACTAGATGTCTCGTTAACGTTTATCAACTAATTCCAGTAAGGGTTGCCAATTTAACGAAGAGATTATTCAAACTGAAGAAAGGACAAGCAATAGGGCTCTGTACACCGGTGGAAAACATAATCAAGTGCAAAGACCGTTCCACGGGGAAAGTCACCACAAGTAACTCAGTTGACGCCAGCTTCGTAAAAGAGCTAGTTAAAAATTATGACCACCTGACAGCTGAAGAACTTAGAAAAGTCAAAGAATGCATCAATACCAACTGTGACATTTTCGAGACAGGAAAATCTACGGGACGTACCAGTCTTGTTCAGCATAGAATTTATACAGGCGATGTAAGGCCAATACGACAAGCACCTAAAAGACTTCCATTTGCTAAACAAAAAGAAGTAGCAAATATGATACAGGACATGATGGCTGCAAATATCATTGAAGAAGCTTCTGGTCCCTGGTGCTCACCTGTGGTCCTAGTAACTAAGGAAGACAAATCTACTTGTTTCTGTGTAGACTATAGAAGATTAAATCAGATAACACAGAAAGACAGCTATCCGCTCCCCCGAATAGACGACATACTAAACACTCTATCAGGTGCAAAATGGTTTTCCACGCTAGACTTAAAGAGTGGATACTGGCAAGTAGAAGTAGATCCTGACGATGGAGACATTATACAGATTCCAGGTTCTCCCGTTTGGTCTCTGTAATACCCCAGCTACCTTTGAACGTCTAATGGAAATGGTTCTGAAAGGATTAACCTGGAAAACTTATCTAGTATATCTCGATGACATTATGTCAAAAACTTTTAATGAACATCTACTAAATTTGAGTGAAGTATTTGTATAACAATATACTTAGTATATTCTGATAATGTACTAAATGCAAATAAAGTATATTTTCTGCATATGCATATTCTTAAAAAGTATATACTAAGAATATGCTAAGAATGTATAATTGTTAATCTGGGTAGTTTATTTTCAAAATAAGTAATTATAACTTTCTTTAATATAATCATATCATTCTCTCAGTGCAATTGAAAGTCAAAATAAGTGTAAAACCTAAACTTGGCAAACTAGTAATAAAAAATATGTTCAAATAAAATTCTTTTTATTCTAGATCGTCTTGCATTTCAGTTAAAAAAAAAATTGACGCCACTGATTGGTCTGGCAAAATGCGGTAGTCGAAATGAACATTCAGCTGATGGGAAGTATTTCAATAAAGCGTTTTTTGGACGTTTTCTCGGCAGAATTGCTTTTTAACTTGATAGATGAAAGGAATTCGACGGTTTGGGAGCATCTCAAAGCGTTCAATATATAGAAAACTTATGATTTATAGATTCCGATTCTATACAAGATTGGGATATCTTATATTTTATCGTTATTTTATGTCAATATTCAAAGCGACTTCGGTTAATAGCTTATAGTGGCCGTTTTTTCAACCAGTTAGCTATCGAATGTTTTTTTTTAATCATACGTTACAGAAAACGTACTGCAAGAGTTCTAGACCATTCCTTTTGTGTTGACGTGTACAATGAAAATATATAATGGAAAAACAAAGCCAAAAAGACATTAACGAATATCTCTGTTATTATTGATCTGATTCAAACGGGATAAAGGGCACTATGAAGTATTATAGAGAAGTATTATTATTTATTTATGAGATACAAAAGTAATACTGTAGCTATATTAGTATATTTCTATAGTTTGCCGAAGAGCAATGTACAATCACAGATTTAGGAGGTTCTAGCCTGAGAAGGTTATTACTTACTAATTTAATACATAAAGTTGATGAAGCTTTCAAAAATGGAGGACTACTTCGCTGACAAAAAGTAAGCCCTTGTCATTATTTCAAGCACTAGAAAGGCCTTCCATAGAAACGATGTTTGCGTCATTATCTATGCAAGAGTTGATGGTTTGGACTACATGAAGTTTGGATTTATTCCATCTTTATCAAATCAATACTTGCCGATGTCTCTCATATGTGAAAAAGTATTCAGAAACGATGTTATGAAACCTTCAAAACCATCAGTAACTTGTAAAATAGGGAATTGTAAACAAGTTTGGAAGACATTGTCTTAAGATATCAGAGATCAATAAATAATTGAAATGTTCTGAATTATGTGGCAATTTTATTTAATCTGATTTTTTGCTGTAATTTTTAAACATAGAAGGCGATCTAGAAAACATAAATTTAATTCAATTAAATTTTTCTCAAAATGTATTTTTTTATGGTATTTAAAAGCATAATCGCCTACTACACCGATTATATAAAAAAAAACAATTTCTTAGTGACCAACCTAAAACTTCTCAAGCAGTGAACTCTGAGTGAAACATCCATTATTAACATGAGAATGAAAAGATTGAGTGCGGTTATTATTATACGAAGTACATCTCCATAAAAAGATAACAAATCTTCCTTTTATAAAAAAGGTAAATTCGTAAAAGATATACTGTTAGATACAGAATGAATAATAGTTAATTAAGTAATTAAGCGGTAATGGTAGGGATGGTGATTTTAGTTTTTAATGCTTGTGGGAGGTTCTAACCGTGGAAATGAATGCGCACCAGTTATGTTGCGTACCCACAGTTTATAAATCAAAGGAATTTTAATAGAGGTTTTACGACAATTTAATTAACTAAGATACCACGGTTTATGGAATTTTTAACAACGTACCAGATTGAATTAAACCGTTATAATACGTTGTTCCACCGATATATATGTTTTTACCCTTATTTGTTGTTAGTCTTGAGCCCCAATGGGTGTGTTTTGCTTTAAAGTCGCCTCCAATGATATATCTAGGTTCTTGACTATTGAGAAAATCTAAGTATTGTTCTTTTTTAAACGGTGTGACTTGGAGGACAATATACAGAAGTGACCATAACATCAGAGTTTTAGTTTTTATCATTACTAAAGTATCCTGAAATTCTTCAGTCCTGTATCGCGCTTCTTGATGATGTTTAATTGCTTCTCTAATTATTACTGCGCTATCCCCTCTTGCTGCATTTCGGATAAATGGTATGATAAACCTTATATCCCTTAAATTTAATAAAGGACTCATTGGTATAGTGAGTGAAATTAAGCATATGTCTATGTTTTCTATATCTAGGATTGCTTGCAATTTTTGTTGGTGCTGCAGCAGTCCATTAGCATTCCGTATCATTATTATTAGACTGTTACTCATTATATTGTCTGTTAGGTATAGCTCTTTTGCTACTATATTCTATATTCAGCTTTTTCAGTATTTGGTAGAGTATTGGTAATGGATGAATCTTGATTGTTACCTATCTATTTCTTCTTTTTTGCCAGATACTGTCTGGCTGAATAATCTAGATTTGTCTATTAAATTGTTTTTATTAACAGATTAATATTGGATTACTCGCTGTGGCTCTTTGCTGTGCTATTATTTTTGATTTTTTACATTTCCTTGGCTACTTCACATCCCCTAGGTAGCAGGATGTCCTTTGTCGCAGTGAACGCAGCTAAGTAGAGCATCTTTCGGTTTTGTACAATTTACAGTTACATATTTCCCTGTGCATTTTACGCATCGAGGCTCTTTAGCACAGTACCTTTGAGTATGTCCGAATTCTTGACACTTTTTGCATTGAGGTACCTACTAGTTTGGAACCATTTTTAAATTACGTCCAGAAGGCAAAAACATATTATATTTTGACGAAACCTGGGTGAATTATGGTTATAGGATTGAAGGTTCCTTCCGTGTAAAAGACGACATCTAATTATAACTCATATTGGAAGTGATGACGGGTTTTCAAAACGTCTTACATCATAACTCATAGTATGCTTATTATTATTCCAGTATTTCAACATTACATATTGATTTAATCAAATTATATTGAGCCCTAAAAAAATATTCCCCTATAAATATATTTTAATACAATAGAGTAAATTTAAAGCTCTGAAAATGCCGCAACGTCATGTAAACAAAGTTGTTTACAATCCTCAAAGGTGATCAATTAGGCAAAATATCATGACATGTCTATGAACGATAGCAGCAATATACTAATTGGTTTGTTTTTAATGTTTACCGTCAAACAGGCAACACACGGATTTTCTAGATAAAAGGCTCAGGTGATTCGATCACGGGGGGGAAAGCCGCTTCAAATGGAGCCCGATCACGAATGTAAAAAACATCGGTAATTACATGGTAATTAAGTTGATTTACACAGTTTTATACATACCAGAAACGTTTTTAAAGGTGTAGTTTTTTACAGGAAAAAGTGGAAATTATTAATAAATCAAAATTGGGATATTTTCATGTTATTTGTCTTTATTTTCTGTATAATTTATAGATAGGCATTTCGGTGTTATCTATAATTAAGCAGTGACTAATTTGGTTATCACTTATTAGTCATGACCGTGGACTTATTTCTGATGTTCTGATTGTTAATTAGATTTCTTATGTATACGTTCTCGATTATGATATCGAAGAATTTTCTTATTGTGACATTGGGTAATTAGAAGCCATGCACCTATATCCGTTCATGACATCGAAGAATTAAGAGTTAAATCCTCATTTTATTGAAAAGTGTCATTCGAAAAATACTAATTGAAAAAGTAATACCACTTGGTTGGAAGAAAAGGTAGAAAAGAACAAAAGGTCCTTCAAATCTCACAAAGATATATAAGAGAACTTTCAATTGTGGTTTAAAAGAGCGAAGGAGATTGTTTAATGTCCTGAAAAACAATATTTTAGTAACAAATATTCAAATAAAATTGTTTTTAAAAGTGACTATGTATGTAATCTTTGTTGCACAAAGTGATTAGGTAACTCATGAGTGGCATGTAAAAATGTTTGCGATTTTCCGTTCTGGATTGCATGTTTTGGGTGAATAACGTCGTCTTTAACGAGCACTTAAGGATTATGAATTCCATGAAGGAAGTCCGATATCAGAAGGCTTTTCGTTGCGTTTAATAAATGGATAAAAAAAGACCTCATGCGAAATGACCATTCGATATGGGAGCTAATTCCATGCAAAAATTCGACGTTTTATATATTTCCTGCTGTAAGTAGAATTTTTTAATGTTATTTTTATCATTTTGTTGTTATTATTATTATTTTATAGTACGGAATTTCGTTGTTAGGCATGCTAATAAACGGAAGTGAATTTAAATATGCTATTCTTGCCAGTGGCAGTATTAAACTGAGAGCTTTCATAACAAATATTAATGTATATTTCAAAAAATTTAGTTTCTTTAAGACGGTAATGGTAAAGCAAGATATTTTTTCTTGAATTAGAATTAGAAATTATTTTCAACTTGGTTGAGAACGCTTGAGGGCAATTTTGATCTAATACAAGAGCCATGTATAACGTTGGCTTTCATTACATAAATGTTTTAGATTCATGCAATTCCAATAGAGTCCCTCCAGCGTCACCAATAGAAAAAGATTGTTCAACATAATGGTTAATTTAAGTTGTATATAATTGGTTTGTTACATATTAGATTCACATCTAACATCCACTGCTCTTATTGTATTTTTAAAATGACAAATACCCTGTAACTTAGTTGCATTTACTTGTCTGAACTTGGTGGAAGTTTTACAGTTGAAAACAGATATCTTGGTTGGTAGTTCCTTTATTACCAATAAAAATGTCTCAAAATACAACTAGAATGAGAGAGCACGTACTCAGCAATGTAAAAATTGTCTAATGTACGAGTAAAGCGTAAATATTCCAAGCAAGGAAGGTGGCACAATCGTAGTCGAATATATTTCCATGGCTCGTTATTACAATTAAAGATACTTGAGTTCTATTTGAAACGAAGAATACTAAAAAAAGGCAAAGTAAAAAGGTATCCCATATTCTGTATCAGGGGCAGAAGCTCCATATATTCATAGATATCAATATTTTTTAAATAATAACAATAGCATTATTTATACATTTTAATTTTAAAAAATGACTCACCTTTATGAATCGGAAGCTCTTCTACCAACTTTTTACTCCTGATGGAAGTTGAACCCGTTATAATATTATCTATAGCTAATCCCCTTCGCCTCCTTCGACATCTGCAAGCCGCTACCGCCAAAATGATGACGAACAACAAAACGGCACTACAACCTCCGAGTACCATCTCCAAATTGTGGTACCTGTTTCTCGTACTTTCGCCGCGCACGGCACTGAACAAAACTGAGAGGAGCGGGGAATGTTCGTTGGGATCCTCCTCATCGGAAATGATGTTCAATTCGCTTTCATCAGTCGATACTTTCTGCAAAAAAAATAATAAAGATTAACTAAGGCTATAATAAACAAAAATTAAAGTTAATAACTATGAATAAACTTTACAACGACAGAAAGAGGCACAATATATATTGTAGGATATACTGGTAGAGCAAAAATGTTACGTTAGCTGGGCTATATATCAAGAATGAGGAAAAATATATGGACGAAAAGAGAGAGAGAGAGATTGATAAGAGACATGCATGATAAAAATGGATAGATAATAATAATAATAATAATAATAATAATAATAATAATAATAATAATAATAATAATAATAATAATAATAATAATAATAATAATAATAATAATAATAATAATAATAATAATAATAATAATAATAATAATAATAATAATAATAATAATAATAATAATAATAATAATACTCTTCCTAATTCACCCCCTTACGAGTGAATTTTAACCCCAAAAGCTGAACTTGTGCGGGAAAACGGACGGCTATTATTATTATTATTATTATTTGCCGTGGCGCTCAGGGGCGACTTAAAGATAATTGATGGTGCCATTTGATTTACAGGTGAGGAAAACCCGGAAAACCTCACCACCATCATCGAGACGGTAATGCTTGGCGATTTTCTATAATCTGCATGTCATATCAACAGAAATTGAATTTCTATTAATACGGCACACATCAAATCCTATACCGAACCATGCAATTTAATTAAACATCCACATGGTCTGGTCTGGGATTCGAAGCCCAGCATTCTCTGACACATAAACTTGCTTTTAAATGAATATAAGCGCGTTAGACCGCTACACCACCGACCCGATGCATGGAAAGATGACTTACACAAGTTAAGAACTATAGGAAACTTCAAGGCAAAGTCCTATAAGGCCTGTTGTGCTTTTTATTGCTAATTTAAAATTATTAGAGATTAAAATTTCCACCAATCTAAATATATCTATTTGATTTACAGAAAGTGTAAAATATTAAAAAAAAATATTGCTGATCGACTTACTATTTGTTTAATAAGTATGTCATTTATTATGACGTGTACGTTATCACTAACTTAACAAATTGAGTAAACATAAATCGCCTTTGATTTATTATATTAACCTCATTATTAAATATTTTGTGCTTACCTGGGCTCGACCTGTATCCAGATCCATCATTTCAGATTTCAAATTCTCTACTCCAGGGATTCGCGAAACAAGTTCCACTTGGATGTGATAAATCGTGTCCGGCCACAATGAAAGAGTGACGCAAGTCGAATCGGTAAACAAATTACCTTTCAAACCACCACCGTCAACCTCCCAAGTCACCAAGTATACACCGTGATTCGCTTTTGCATCCCAGGCGATTTCGCCGATGACGAGCACTTTTTGGTGGATCAGAGAGATCTCTTTTAAGACCCAAGCTGCTTCTCCCGTGCCCATGGTTTTACTGGTGGTCGCTTTGATTTCGGTGTTAATGGTTTTCTTCTTTTTCTTAATTTCTCTAATGCTTGCCTCGTCGGGGCTGTAGATAGTAACCAAACCTTGAGGATCAACTACTAGTACTCTTAACATGGCGTCGCTTCTATCTGAGTTCAGCGGTACTCTAGTAGTATGGTCTAAAGTTTGTATAATTTGCCTCCAAGGTCCGTTTTGAGCTTTGCGCATCACTACGTAGACCAGAGGAGTTTGAGGCTCAACAGATGACGGCCTGGGCCACCTAGCCAACGCTCCATTTACTCTGATAACCCCTTCGCCTTTGGTATGGATGACTGGTTCTGTTTGTTGGGTTCTAGCTGCAGCCATGGCGTGGAATCTGCAGGCTTCTTGGCAGCCAGGAAACTGAAACAAAAGAAATCATTGTTAATTTCAAATAAATGTTACAATTTTTATAAATGCTGTAAAGTCTTTGAAAGCTTACATTATTTGGATATATACTTCATACAGTATAAAAACCAATGTACGTCAACGATGACGTAATAAAATTTGGACCATTACAGCTTCACTCTGTTGTCAACTTTTGAAAATAATTTGAGAATCTTTTAAAGTTCCGACAATTGTAGGTACAGAATAGAAAAGCAGCTGTAAATCGTTGTGATGTTAGCCAATAAGAAATACCAGTCAGTAGTATGTTCTATGTATAATCTTAAATCTATTAAGAACATCAGTTGAGTAAGGTGTGCCTTCCTTTATCAAAAATGTTCATTTTTTTGTATTCAACATAATTTTTAGTATCATCCTTTTATTTTCTACTTAAATATGTTGGATTCTTGTTGTTATTTTGTTAAATTGGATTATATTATACAGATGTTTAACTGCAATATCAATTTCACAGTTATTTCCGCAAATTTGTAGCAAAATTCAAATACCTGTATCGTATATTTTTATGAGCTTGTTGATATCCATATAAATAAGAAATTATGAACTTGTCTCTGGACTAGTTTTAATATTTTTCTTTCTTTTTTCAATTCCCAACGTGTCTTCGTCAACAGTACGTTCATAATTATACAGGTGTGTAAAATAACTCTCGAATTAACTCAAGATTATAGTCTCAGTTTAAATGCAAATGGACCATTTAATATGTAAACGTGCAATTGTAATTACCAGACAAATTGAGAAAAAAGAGAATCTAAAAACGCCTCTATAATTATTATTTAAATTTAATAAACAAATTAGATAAAATAACATCCAACAGCTTTGCAAAGCAAAGTTAATCAAATACAAAATAAAGACGCTTTTATCCGTTAGAAAATTTGGCAACGTTGTTCAATTTTCTCTACTCTTCGGCGTCTAAATTGCTTCTACAATCATGTAGCTTTTCATGAGGCTAAACTAATATTCATTTAATCAGTTTCATGCCGAAAGCAGTGTCTTGTTATTACGTAAATACCCTGCAAGATTTATTATAAAGTTTGTTTAGAATTAAACAAGGAAGCAATACGAAAAATGTATATATGTATATATAGTACCTACCTAACTTAAATCGACTGGTTTTCGATTAGAAATTAAATTTTCACTAGTAATACCACTAGAGGTCAAAAAATTTCTTGATATTAATTTGACCTCGCGTGGTATTCGGTAAGAAAATTCCACGCCGAATTATGGTTGAAAATTAAATATTTTTAAAATTTATTTTTCGTTTCTCAACAATGCAAATTATTTTCTCCAAGTCATCAGTGAAACATAAAAGGTGTTGTCGCCTTGATTGTTGAGTTGTCATGGTAACTAAGTGAGACCCTAACCTCGAATATAATTTCAGTTTGGAAGTTGTCAAGCGGCCCGACGTAAAAAAATGTTTCGCTGCAATTATTTAGGCCTTCAAATTGCTTATTTCTACTCATTGTAGTTGCATGGGAATACCATTTGAAAATAGAAAATAGTATATTCTTTAATTTTACGTAAGTTTTGAATAACTACAAGTGGTAGAAAATTGTTTTTCTGCGTTTTTATTAACATGCGTTATGAACGCTTTAAAATGGTATGAAATTCATAACCAGCATCAGCAAGCATCAATCGTAGGAGGCTGTGATCATTGTATTTTGACAGTTCAAAACATTAAATAACTCGCGTTTTGTTGCGATAAAGAATATTGCACAGCAAGTAAAACCAACAAAATTACCTATTTGTTTAAAAATGAATCGATTTGAAAATCATACGCTATGCAAAATATGCGTGAAATTGTCTGATGTAATGATCAATCATTGCACCATGACTTACTTACTCGGATTAATAGAGGATTGTGGCTCCAATTTGAAAAACGAAAATTTGTTCCGAATTGTCCACGAATATTTGCACCTAAACTACGCAAAATTCAAAGTGCTGAATGGGAAAAAGGTGAATAAATTAGTGTCTAAATATTATATATATTTTATTAGACATAGACACATAATTCAAAGAATCCAAAGTCCTGCATTTTCGCCATTAAGAAGAAAAGAAGTGGCCGAAGAATATAGAAAACACCTTAGCATTGTAACTAAAATGTATCAAAACTAAACCTATTATGTGAACAAATAAAAACCAGTCTGTCAAAAATGGTCTGTTATTGTAAACGTCAAAAAATTTCCAGTATAATTCGCTGTTGGGTACCCCACGAGAAAAAAATTTCCACTAAAATACCTCCGTTGCCATGGTGATCTGTCAAAAACACGTATTTTGATTGGTTCAAAATTACAGATGTGGAATTTTCAGGTTAATTTTGTACTTTTTTTTCCTGGGTGAGTTAATATTAAGGTGGAATAGAGATAAATATTTGTATTACCTAACCTTACATTAATTTACGTACTGTATCAACATATAGTAAAATTAATAGTGTAAGGACGCCTTTTATTAAAAGCAATCCAGTGAATCCAATATATTCGATCCTTGAAAACAGCCACCAAATTGAAAATTGTCTAGGAGGAGAGCGGCACGTCCTAGAAACAATCCGGTAATTTAATTGGTCTTTCAATTGCATTTTCGTATCTGTAGTGTGCAGACCCACAGTCTATTAGTCTGCGGAAAACTCGTATATACATCTGCATCGGAGTGAACTCTGGATCCGCAGGCAAAATAATCCGTCGGTGCGGTTTGAAACTCGAACAGAAATTGGAACATGCCATTTCAAAATCCTAACCAACGAACATCTCTTCATTTACTCTTGTGATATTAGATTGTTTCTAATTTCCAGATTCTGTTAGTGTGAATTAAGTTTGACGATTATCAAATGAAGATATTCATGTTTACTTACAAATTATAATCGTTATATGTCACTCAGTATTAGATAGAGAGAAGGACAGTCATAAATATTTGCCTGTGTGGTTATTTACAGATGATTGATGGTGTCATTTGACTAACAGAAGAGAAAAACTTGAGAAAATCCACTCTTCGTCTTTAATATGGTAACTCGTCCCAATATAAAAAAAGACGTAAGGGGCAAGTACGATGTATATCTACACAAGGCTCAAATTATGTGGTATACTCCAGATCCTTCCTTCTAAACGAGAAATAGGAAGGAGCTCACTACTGGAAGGAACATGTTCATCTATACAGATAGCAGATAAGCACTACTAGCCCTTGGTGTCGAAGTATTCATCATCAATATCGTCACCTTAAGATATGTTAAAGACCATGCTGTATTTAAAGAACCTTCTTGACGATTTATTAGTCAAGAAGGCAGCCAACCTAGTACTTTTTAGACCTGGCCCTTCTATTGGACTAACAATATTGGTAGAGACAAACCAAATTAATACTATGACTGAACAGAGGCATTTTGACTGGTCAATTGCTAAGTACGGAGCTTAGGACTGTTAGATTCTACAAGAAGATAAGACTGTTGAGCATATCATCTATGACTGCTCGAAGCACTTATCTACAACAAGATTAATATTAAGTAAGTATTAACTAAAACCAACCACATAAAACACATTGTTTTGGATTATTTTTTAACTTTATTTCAGATAAATCATTATTGATTTGTATTGATGCCAAGTTGATTTCAGATAAAGGAAAAGAGTAATAAAATTATGTATGGTATGGTAGTTACAGTGAAATAGGTATGAAAATAAGTGTGCATGATGAATTGTAGAGAGCCTAAAATCCTTCCCTGTAAAAACATGTTGAAAGTTTATTAATGAGAAGTTTGTTAATCTAGAACAAGTCAGAGCGGGTTATTCTCTGCATAGCAATGAAAGCGCCAAGCGGACTTCTCAACAAAGCTCGATTACCAAAACGACAAAGATGCGTTTATGGTATTGTCTAATGCTAGACGATTTTGCTATTCGTAAGTGATATTAATTTTTGTTGTAAGCTGTCATAATTATAAATCACAGTTTTATATTCTTTATTTTATAGTTATGTGCTTCCCTTAAAGCTCTTACGTGTTGCCAACCTTTCATTTTAAAACAAAAAGTAATGATTGCACTTTTTTAAATTCAAGTCTGACAGCTATTAATATAGACATAGCTGAAGGGATATCCCCTACATCAGACCCCAACATCGTAATCAATGTGGATAAATTAAACATATACGTGTACGCGCACACACACGCTATATATGTGCATATTCGCGTGGAACATGTATCCCTATCTTCCGGTCAGTTTAAACCATTAGTCAAACCCCCTCCGGTTAATTAAGAGTGCACCGAAAAGCGTACAAGCGCAAATATGCGACATTTAAAACGATTGTTGTGTAGCGCCAGAGTTGTGGATTATTTTTCCTTGATCCTTTATTACCTCTGCATTCTTGGCCACGAAATTCTATGCGTTTTCTGGTATGGCTTTCGCCGGTCCGCGCACAGTAAACCGAAAGGATAATATAGCAGGCCAAAATTCACGTAGACGATTAGAATCTGCTCGAATAGAAAAGAATATGTTCATCACAAAGTACTGACGACTTATTTGCGCTGTTGAATGTCTTTGTGTTGATTCGCTATTACAGTGGCGTTATTCTTCTAAAGAAAAAGTAATTTTTTTACTGGAATCTGTATTTCTGGAACAGTTAACCAATTTATCTAAAACGTTCAATTATTCAGTTATTCTAATTATGAAATTTTAGCAAAACTGTTTACCTAAAATGGCTACGCTGCGTCTGTACCCTATTTTAATAATGAATTATTACCTAAAATATATTTTAAAGATAAATACAAACGTAGAATTTACAAAAGTATCGTTACAAAATATTGATAAGTATTAATATGTTGCCATATTTGAAAAATTTGCGTAATTAACTACATATTGTGAATGTGGAACACTAAAATCTCATATTTTGACAATGAAAAAAGTCATTAAAGCTATGAATACAGATTTCTATAGAATTACAAAATCAACAATGGTAAATGTTAAACAGTTCATAAATATTGTTAATTA